AGCAGGAATCTCTTACAGGCTTCTCTTCATTTTCAGGAGGTCCATGATCTCTCTATTGAGCCAGGGGGCCTCCCAGCCCTTTTGCTACCTTTCTTACAAACAGGAATAGACCGCCTTTGTGCTCCAAGGATCATATCCTTGAGGAACACCCACTCTTCTTGGACTCCCGTCCCCACCAGACCATGGTCCTGCAGGGCCTCATCCACCAATCTTCTAAGCTTGTAGAAGTCAGCTTTCCTAAAATCAAGGATTTCTACCCTACTGACTGATTTCCTTGCCTTACAATGGACGATGAAAATGATTGTCATGGTCACTGTCACCTAGATTTCCCTCGATCCTCAGGTTACTCACTAGATCATCCAAAACTAGGAGCGTCTTTCACCTAGTCGGCCTGTACGCTTCTTGAGTCAAATAGAGCTCCTCGATGCAAGTGAAGAAGCTATGCGATCGCTCAGATCTACCTGAGTGCTCTTCCCATGAGATGTCTGGGTAATTGAAATCACCCGTGACAACCATGTTTCATGAGTGTGCAGCCTCTGCCAGTCCTCTGGAGAATTCCAGATCAAGCTCCTCTACTTGATTCAGAGGTCTGTAATATACTCCTACCATCAAGTCCCCTTCATCACACCCTCCCTGTATATTAACGCAGAGGGTCTCGTCGCCCTTCTTTTTTGTCTATCTTGGCTTCCCGGGATGTGTACTGCTCTTTCACATAGAGAACAACACCTCCACCCTTCTTCCCTATGCGATCCTTCCTGTATAAGGTATAGCCCTCTATACCTGTGGTCCAATCATGGGTGCAGTCCCACCCGGTCTCCATTATCCAAATAAGATTGTATTCCTTACTGGTTAGCAGGAGGGGCAGCTCTTCCTGCTTGTTCCCCATGCTCCTAGCATTTGTGTACAGAAACCACAATGTCTACCTTGGAAGGTGCTGGAGTGCCGGCATGCCAGAAAAACAAAATGAGGTTGGGGGGGGTGGGGGTACATGACAGGCACTGCATATTAGTATATTTAATAATTATAAATGTTGCCTTTGGTGCTGTGTATTCCTTTTGTGTTGAGCATGTTGCAATAAGACAGAGAGAAAAGAAAGAGACAAATAAGAGAAAGAGGAGAGAGAAAGAAAAAGGAGAGCAGAGAGAGAACCAGACACATGCACACACAGAACCACATGCACAAACACAGAGAACCAGAACACACCCAGAAAAAGACATATGCACACACGCATCCGGAACCAGACACATGTGTGCGCACACAGACACACAGAACCAGACAGAGGCAGACAAATGCACAGAACCAGATGCGCGGGCACACGGAGCCAGGCTCCTGGGCTACTGGACAAAGTCCGACCCAACAATGCCCTGGTTCTGCCAGAGCCCCTGTGCTTCCCCAGGGAGCCAGCCCCGAGGCTGCAGCGCAGCTGGCCGAGGCCCCAGCCCGGGAGCCTGCCCATCAGCCCAGCCCACCCACCACGCACACCTAAGCCCGCAAAAGGTGCGGTGCTTCTGACAAGGGGCAGCGCCAGCCTCATCGTGGTGGTGGGGCTGGGCCAGGGCTGGGCTCGGAGCAAGTGGGAGTCAGGCATGCTCAGCTGCAGGCCCTACTGCAAGCAGCCTGGACTCCGTGGTTGGCAGCAGCTACCAAAGCCTGGGCCAGCTGCAGCTGGGAGGCTGCAAACAGCTGCTCCAGGCTCTGGCATCAGTTCCATACTGGTGGATGCACGTGTACCTCGGAGCGATGGGGATAGGGCCTGAGGCAACACAGCCCTCCCACCGTCCGCTCTGAGGTGCACATGCAGTCGCCGCCACCATGGAGCTGATGCCGAGGCTGTGGAGCCCAGTGCAGCTGTTTGCAACCTGCCCACTGCCTGCTGCAGCTACCCAGAGCCCAGGCTGGCTACAAAAATCTGTGCCAGGCCCCGGAGCCCAATCCTCAGCTCTGTGCCAGCAGTGGAGGAGAGGCCAGGGTTGCACTGCCTCAGGGCCCTCCCCCACTGTCTGCTCCGAGGTGTGCGTGCGCCCGCCAGTATGGAGCTGACGCTGGAGCCCGGAGCAGCTGTTTTGCAGCCTTCTGGCTGCAGCTGGCCCAGGCTCTGGGTAGCTGCTGCCAACCACGGAGCCCAGGCTGCTTGCAGCTTCCCAGCCACCTGCCGGGAGCAGCCCAGCCACTAAGCCCGGCAGCAGCTACCTAGAGCCCAGGCTGGTGGTGGTGTGCCAAGCAAAATGGCCTCACATGCCATGCTTCGGCACACGTGCCAGGGGTTGCTGACCTCTGCTCTAACAGTTTGCCGCCTGTCCTGCCCTTTACTGTACCTTTACTATTCACGGTGTCGTGTCTATAGTCCTACCTTCAACAAATAGCTAGTCTGTTACCCATGCACTACTGGAATAAGAAGGGTAACATGCATACGATTGGTCATACTGGGCTCTCAGGGTGTGTGCAATTCTGCCTCTTGTCCTAATACAAAATGTGTACATGTAGACAGGGACTTACTTAATTCAAGAATTCATGGATTTCACAGAAACCACAAAATCAGGCATTAACCATGAAATCATATCCCCCCACCCACCCCCACATAAAACCTACTAAAACTAAAATGCTGGCTCCCCAGTAAGAGGCTGGCAGCAGTGAGGGGCAAGGCCATCAGCAACAAGGGGTGGAGTCATGAAAAGGCCATGAAATCAGCTCTGTGCACTGTGGAGTGACCCATGAAAATCCCTTTTGCTTACTGTGACTTTGAAAGATCCCTACATAGAGAATCTTTGTTTTTTGCAACTCTCTCTCTTTAGTTTCAGATCTTTTTGAATCAGATCAACAGTTCTTTGGTAGACTCAAACATGTTGGTTCGTTGCATTACACTGTCCCTGGACCGATTTGAGAACCAGTCGGATGCTAAAGGTAAAGGAAAACTCAGTGATTCTGATGTTTAATTAAAATAATGGAACTAAGCCTTAATATCATTGGTAGGAAAGTGCCGAAGACAAATGATACTCAGCACATGTACTTAATAACTATGAGCACCAGTTCTCATTGCTCTGTTTCCTGTGTTGCTAGTTTTTCCTTGCCTTCTTTCACAATCCATATAGTAATATAAGAACTCTTGACTGAAGATGACCCATCCTTGAGACAGCCATCTTCAGTCCTTTTCTCCTTTTCAGATGCTGCCTGTCTGCTCAGCTGAACATAGTTCTGCATTGGATTGGAGAGTTACTGATATGTCCTTGCTTCCACATTAACTTTGAAAGCTTAATATGATTATATCTAATCTATGGAAATCTAATGATCTGGTTGTCTTCCCTATAGTTGCAGAAGTCTTGTCTGAGTGCCACCTGTTATCATACATGTCTCAGATGTCCATGAGGATGTCCTTCCTTTTCCGCCTAATTAATATAATTCATGTGCAGACACTTACACAGGTAAAGAACTGACAGTAACATTTTACTGCTGTAATCATAGTCATTCATCAGTTCTAGGGGCTGATTTCTTGTTATGACACAGCTGTCCTAACCATACAATAGAAATAAAAACATTTTGCTCCATTAAATTCAAACCCTAAGCAACGTCTGTGTTCCTCTCATGAAAAATGGTGTCTAGAACACTTGATATCCTTTATTAAGGATATCCATTACTGCTTATTGTATGTTGTTTATTTTAGGAAAACGTCAGCTGTTTGAACACAAGCTTAGTTATTTTAATGCTGGCCCGAAGGAAAGACAAGCTGCCGTTTTACCTTCACACGTTGCAACAGATGGAATATACAGAGAAGTACCCTGGTTTCATCATGAACAACTTTCACAGTCTCTTGCGATTCTGGCAGCAGCATTACCTCAATAAAGACAAAGACAGCACTTGCTTAGAAAATGTATGTATTTCATTCCTTCTGTGGTAAGAGACAACCATGGTGCTCTTAAATTCCATTTGTATTGGCCCAGATTATATACATGGGAAATGAGGCTTTTGAAGGAAGTAAGGAAATGGCTTTAGTCCTCAGCATAACATCCTAAAGCATTTTTACTGTGTTACCAGTTCAGTGCCAGTGTGCCACATAATCAGAACTGTAAGTCAACATGAGGCTGTGAATCTTTTCTTTTATTTGATAGGATCAGAGATTGAGAAGATTTTTCTAGATAATCTAGCCACTTCCTTGGGGAGCTAGTGCAGAGTCCTTCCTCAAAAAGTGTTCTAATTCTGTGTCTTTTTCCTTTAAGTGTCCCAAGCAGTAGGGTTTCTGCTGCCTTCCCTAGGAAGGAATTATTATGCAGTTTCAATAATCTTAATGTCAGAGATCTTTACCTGTTGTTCAGTGTTTCAGTGTTTACCTGTTGTTCAGTGTATTCATCTGTTCTTCCATGGCCATGCTCCCTGCAACACTTAATTATGCTGTACAAATTAAGCCCTTCAGCATTCCTTGCTGTGTAGCCCTTCCCAGTAATCAGTTTTTGATGATCTTCTCTGAACTCCCTCTAACTTTTCCGTTCATGCTTGTAGGGTCTATAATACCGGAAGTGTTGCATGATTTGTTTTGTTTGTAAAATGATTTGTTTTGGTGGTTGCAGTTTGATCCAATAATAGTCTCATGGTGTGGACATACAAACAAAAAATTGCGGGGTAAAAAGGGGTTCCTGTATGTTGACTCCTGGCTAACTCCCCACCCATACCCTCCATCACTGCAGGATAAACAAGTACAGTTGAGCTTCAGTTTACCAAGATTACAAGCATGCACATAGGTAGTTGCACCAAAGCAACTGATGCACAGTAAAACCCTTGGCTCTGCCTTGCAGGAAATTTGTTTGTATGTCCATGCATTCAGTGGAACGCTTTCCCGCTTTTTCATAAGAGTAGTAGGTAAAGTGTATCCCAGCTGTAGAAGTGCACCTAAATTTCCTGTGTATTTTTGGTAGACGTGATAGGTTAGGTAGCACTAGAGCAGTTAATCCTATTTCAGCAGCTTTGAATGTCTGTGAACAATCTCAGTTGCTTCAAATGAAGATTGGGTTCCATGATTTTGGTCTCCATTTCTTCTTGTCTCTGTTCATGCAAACAAAAGAAAATTGAAGCTGCTTCTTGTTCACAGGTTAGCCTCTTCACCATCTTTGGACTTGAATTCATCTCTTGTTCTTTCTAGCAGATGCATCCTTCTTGTGCTTGCTAAACTTTAGATATAAATGACCTCTTTTAAAGCAACCAAGGATTTGTAGTAGAGATGATATCTTTTATTAAACCAACAAGATTTTTGCAAAAAAAAAATTCTTTAATTGCAAGCTTTCAGGCACAAACACCCTTCATCACGCATTGGAGAAAAGATTGTAAAAGTTCTCCTGGGTAGAACTTAAAGTTCATATTTCATAGGATTTCACAGAGGAGTCAATAGATACTCCTCTGGGCAGTCAGTTCATAGCTAGTATGGAGACTCTCACCTCCTGTGAGGATCTGTGATGATGCAAATTACCTTGAAACAAAGGCAGGAGCAGGATCTCAGGTTTCAAGTGGTCACAGTTGCTTCCTGCTTGGGGAAATATGAAAATTTCATTTAAAAAATAGGCTAAAATTCAATATCTTTCATGTGTCAGGTATCCAAATCGTAGCCATATTGGTCTAGAGGAAAAGGCAATCAGGACTTGTAGTAGAGATGCTACCTTTTATTAGACCAACAATACCATCTTTTAAAGCATGTTCTTCAGTTAAATTACTTTAAAGTATAAGTGAAACAGGTGAATGCTCAAAGGCTGCTTAAAAATAGCATGTATTTTTTTAATTAAGCTTTCACCAAATACAGTACCCACAGAGATGTCTCTTCTAAATGGAAATATAAACACATGGAAACTTGACAAGCAGACATCCCTTCCTTTCTCCCTCTCTCCCCATATTACCAGTAATCCAGGCTTCCCAGCACCTAATAAGAAATGGACTAAGAACCATGAGCAAATATGACCCTGATTGGGTCATTTTGGCTAAATTGACATTTTTGCTAAGTTGACATAAGATGGGAAACTCCCTTCTTGAGAGCACAGAGGCAGAAAAGGATCTTGGAGTCATTATTGACTCCAACAGCCCTGACTCATAACTTTGGGTGTGCTCAGTTTTCTAACTGCTATCATCCTTAAGGTTGCCATTTACACTGGGCTTGCACCAACTTGAGATTCTCAGGACATTCCTTGCAACTGCAGTTCAAGTTCCAGGCTTCTATGGACAGTGCTAGGTTCAGGAATCTCTTACCTGTGGTCTCACTGACCCTCTTCCAGGCCCATGCAGCACAGAAGGGGAATCAACCTGATTCGAATGCAGAAAGGAAAAGAGGGGCTCCCACTCAACTTGTGGTCAGAATAGATTTGATTAGGAAGACTGATATAGAAGTTGGGCAATGCTTGATTTTGGGTTGGCAGAGAGATTGGGACTGAGGAGCAGGAGGGAAACGGGACAGGAAAAGGTAAGTGGAGGAGACGGATCAGATGAGCTGGGGTGAGAACAGAACCAAGGAATTGGGGTTGGAAGAGACAGGAGATAGCGGTATGTTTGAGGGAATGAGGCAGAAAGCATTAGGTTTGGAGGATGGTAGTCACTGGAGTCTGTGCCCACTGAAGAATGCTTCCTAAGTCTTGCCACTGCTCTGCTGTCAGCAGAACAAAATGCATTGACAGACTGTTCCATCCTCCTTCGTGGTGCAGTCTACTGCTCTGTCAGTTCAAGTGGGAGAAGTCTGTATGGTGAACCTGAGGTTCCAACCTTCTTGATGATCATTGTGAGGTCTGGAGGTCACATGATGGAATCCCCCCTCCCCTGTTTCTAAAAATCCTAGGCAATTTCCCACACCATTTTAATATTAAGGTCACACAGTCACCTACCTAAATATTACAAAATGCCAGCATTAATTTATCCTAACATATATGCATAAGAAGTCTTAAACTACATGATCACATGCTATTTTTTCCACTGGATCCCTACCCCATTTGATATAGGAGTGACTTAACATCTATTTCTTATTCCTCCCTTCCCCCCTGCCCCCCACCACACCACTCTGTGTTCTGTCAGTGGCTTAACACTAGACTGTATTTATTTTCCAGTGTAGACTGTATTCCAAAGACCCCTACCCCATGTCACACTTAAGAGGAGTTTAACCAGTTAATCACGTCTTAAATTGTGACCTGGCTGCACAATCAAATAATGGTGTGATAAAACAAGGAATAAGCCACACAATTATTCCCCAAAAAAGTCTAATAACTTTTTAGCTTCTTTCTGTTGCTCCATTAATTGAACATTTGGTCAGGTGTGCCCCAACAGCTAGGAGGCCTGGGGTCCCAGCGATGGGAGCTTGCTACTTGGCAGTGCAGGGGGAACCTGGGATTGTGATCGTGGGTTCCCCCTGCACCAGCATTAAGGTGTGATGGGATATGATGTATGATCTCACAATTGCATCTCCTGCCATGCATGTGTGCCGTGACAGGAAGCATGATTGTGAATCACGCATCAGATCCCTTCGCATCTTTACCCATGTCTGGCAGGGGCCAAAGCTATGTACGGGTTTCTCATGCCCCCCTTCTGTGTTGTGCCTCACCTAGTCCCATTCATTTACGAGTTGCTCAGTTTCTCACAGCACCCCGGTAGGGTGACTAGGTGGTAACCCCACTTCATAGATGTTGAACTAAAGTACATAAAAGTTAAGATTAGAAGTAAACAAATATGGTGCCCATTTAGAGATACTTGATATTTTTGTAGTGTACTGTGTTAGTGCTTCCTGTTTAAAGCATGACATCCTTGGAGTTCAGTTACTGAGCTTGACAGCAACAGTTTTGCATACTACACATCAACATGTTAAGTTAGGCATTCAGAAAGAGGAACACACTTAGGGATTCCCTGGAAAAGATCTGGTTAAGTCTCCTGGATAATTTTAACTTGCCTGCATATGAAGTAGCAGATGAACTTGCAGGTGCTCTGTTGGCCTGCAGAACTTTAATGGGGTTGGCTAATGATTACCTGTGACACGACAGCACACACATCAGGGATCTTGTTTCTTCATTGTACTGTCTCTGTTTTGTAGGTATTTGGCTATGGAATTTACCCATCCCCTTCCTGTCAGTCTCAAAGCATATTTAGTAGGATTGTTGTAGGGTCTAACGCAGCATTGTCCTATTTCTTGAACTGGAGATCCCATGTGCTCTTCTGTTGTCTGGTCAGAGGAGGGGGTATTTGTTCTGTGTTGGAAATACTGTCTCATCAGCATCTGGACAATGAGAAATTAGGTCTTTTGGTTTGTGGAGATGCTATAAAAATAAAATAGCAGCAATATTGGCTTCCTCCAGATTAATTACCATGTTCAATACAACTCTTAAGTTCCCCTTTTTTGGGCTGGATAAATTCTTGCTGTGTGACAGCTTCCATGAAAACAGTGTAGGCCAAATAGTATCCAAGGGATTAAAATGTTGGCCTTTTGCACTACAGAGACACTTTCAGGTTTCCCTGGGCCAATGTGCAGATGGAGTGGGGTTGGGTGCATGTTCAAAATGCATATCTTGAATGCACTTCAGCTTCATTTTAATGAACTTCATTGTAATTTGTCAATATTCATCTAATTAGACCCTAACTTCTCTTCCTCCACAGAGCTCATGTATTAGTTTTACTTACTGGAAAGAGACTGTATCTATACTGCTTAGTCCAGATCGGACATCACCTTGTGCCATAGTTAGCTACATCGATGAGGCATATATGGACATTGACAGAGATTTCACTGAGGAATGACTCTTTGGATGCTGGCTTCTGATGGACAGTGCTTGGAAGATACCTCACAGACTGGATTTTCAGGGATACGCTGTGAAGTGCGTGTATGCTTCTTGGAACCATGGAATACTACTGCATTGTTAAAGACTCTTGTCCCGCCTCTGATCTCTATAGACTTTTCAAACTGTCGGGGCAACACATTCAGCCATATATTCCGGTCATTTTGGGATAAAAGTAATTTTCCACAAAAATCAGGCCTTTTCCTGCTTCTCTCAGGCAAGTGTATTTAGTTCAAACCCTTTCCATTGACAGACAAGGAAGTATTCTATGTGCCAGCTTAATTTTGGTTCTTCCTCATGACCACAGAATTAGCAGGTTTGAAAAGCACAGGAAATGTCCCAACCTATTCAAACACAAGGTCTGACAAACCAGCCGAACTGGGACCCCTGATGCATGCAGGCCACACGCACACAGCCACCAGGAGGACTCACATCAGCTTTAACTTTGGGTTGGGATTTGGAGTTTAGGTTTGACCAGACTGTGTTTGCTCTTAATTTCTGGGAACTATAGCTCTCTCCACCTTATTACTATCCACTTTTGGATTGTTTGTACCAAAATCTCTTTGGCCATCATCTGTTTGACTGTGGTGTTCTACTTGGACGTCTCTGCTTCTGCTGCTGTCCTTTCTGTGGATACTTCCCATCTGAAGATGTATTTACAACGCTGCAAAGAAGAGACATTTCAGTAGTAGTGGAATTGCAGTCTGGGGCCTAGCTTTGACTGGGCATTAACCAATTAAAATTTACTGATTTTTAAACTTGTAGCTTGTCCCTTCTTGGGTAACTAATCTGACTTTAAAATCTGGACCAGTGTACTTTTTGCAAGGTAATATGCTCTTAAACATAGTTAGTACTAACCTGCTTATGTCTGGAAGCCTAACACCAATATCTAAGCTTGCAGTCTTCAGTACCTTAAAATCAAAACACATAATTAATCTCGAAGTGCAATACTTATTGGAGATGTCAGGTTTTTTCCTGGGTTTGTTGTTTTAATGGGTAAGCGTACGCAATGCTGAGCATAAACACTCATGGTTAAAAATAACTTTGCTCCCACCTCCCCCAGCAGCTTACAAATTTTAGCAAAACTAAGTGCTTAATCTCAGCTTGCAGCTCATAATCAGGAGTATTAAACAAGTTGCTCCAAGGCTGGATGCTATTATGGTGAGATTTCCTGGAATTAAATAGTCTGTTGTTGAAGTCTGAAGCCAGTGCATTTAAAACGCATCTTATGTATTTTGTGGCCCTAATTTAAAAGAAGTCCATTTTTCTAGTCATCCCCAAAAATGAAATTTAAATTTAAAATGTAATAATTTAGATCAGTTTGCACTAATAATTGGTTGCACGGACAGTTCTAGAATTTCCTCAAATGTATTGCAGGAACTGACAGTGAAGGGGGATCTGAACTTCAGTGCCTTTGTATTCCTTCTCCTAGCCCTGGCTTATAACCATCTTCTCCAGGACTTTGTCTGCAGTCAGATGAAGGAAGAGAGAACATGGCTCTGCAGCTAAGCCTGGCACAGAACAAGATGGTCATCTTACAATGTATAATAACCTTTGCCAGCAAAGGGAATAAAAAAATCTCAATTCCTGACAAGGGGTGTGAATGTGCAGGACAGAAGATCAGATCCTGGAATGGGAATTATACCATCTGAAGAGTGCTGACCTGTCTGTAATCGGACCTGTCTTTTGAGATGACTTCAGCTACTATTAATATGTACATCAGCAGTCCCTATTGTAGGTCCCATTCAAATAAGCCAGATAGCATGGGAGAGTCAGCATTCTGCTTGTGGTGTGTTCAGAACTTCTGAGCCAGTACATCCAGCTGGAGTCTTAAGAAGTCTTCTCCTCAAGGGATTTTGCTCCCTAGTAGACTTCATTTCAACACACCACCTCCAGTCAATATCACTCCTTCACCTAAGATTTCACATTTTGGGGGTACCAGCTACAACTCTCTATTCTTCATCAGCTTTTCCCTCTGGAGCTTAAATACTTTTTGTTCTTAGGGAAGTTTTGTTTCTTGGTGTCTCTGCCTATATTTACCTGTAATAGATGTGCACTCAAAATAAATGCTTCAAACTAAAAGCTTTTAAATTATAAGGGATGCCTATTCCATAGTGTAGGTAACTGGTGCATCCAAAGATTGCTGCTATAAACCTGCAGAGAATACGTTTTGGTCTTGTATTTCTAGACTTGTGTAACTCAGAATTAAGGGCCAAACTGCTTTTATCCTTAGCAATTGGCCTGCAAAAGGCTGAGCTAAAATCATCCCCACCTGTTTTCTGTGTAGTGAGTGTGCTGTCCTGTGGGGGGAAGCACAGTGGCTTTCTATGTTTTCTTCTTTAGGCACTTTGGGTTTTCATGAGTACCAACAGCTCCAAGGACTGTTCTGGGTTGGAATCTTGGAGCCAAGCCTCACTATCCCTCTTGCAAGAGGCTCATTGAGAGTTAGCTTGCCCCTGCCACGTGCACAAAAAGCAAATTCTTCAGTCTCCTCCCTCAAAGTAGCCCCATCCCTTGTGGGGAAGGCTGTGCATGGGATTCTGACAGACTTGTTAGATGCTAAATAAACTGGGGTTGAGCTTCACTTCTGACTTTGATGGAGTTCTTTGTTCATATCAGCCTCCCTGCAAGTCACCAGAAGCAGCTTGATTCTTCCCTCTTGTGGTAGTAGAAATGTCTTATTTAATGAAGAACAGCAGGAGAAATGTCTGTGCCAGGGTAGGATGGAGAGCATGCCAGCTTGGTCACCATCTGTAATGTGGATTTTTTTCAGACTTTGTGCTGGAGTGTGGAGCATGGGGGTGGGATCTCATCAGGTTGAACACACTCAAGGAAATCTGCACTATCCCAGTGAATTGCTGAGGTTTGTGCTTAATTAATGCCAGATTAATGCCAATTTATTAACTGCAAATAAACGTATTAAATGGAAACTATTAAAGAAATCTATTTTAAAAGAAACCTGGGTGGAGATGTCTTTCTTTATATCAACTCTGGCCTGCTGTGTGAGCAGAGCCGCTGACTTTTCCTGTCAAAGCAAAGGAATCCTCGCAGCCTGAAAGCCTCCACGGTGTGGGTCACTGGGGACTGAGCCTTGCTATCTTGGTTCAGACTCTAGTTTACCTAAGTTCTGCTCTGCTGTTGCTTTGGCAGAGCTCTCCAAGCCCTGGTGGAGGATGAGGAAAGTGTCAGATTTTTACCAACACAGTTCATGATTATGATACTCTCATATTTCTGAACTCTGAATGGGATATGGTCTTTCCCAATCCCCACCCAAGCCAGCTAAACCATGTCAGGGGCAGTTACCCAACCAGCTCAGTATGCAGCCCCTGCTCTTTTGGTGCACAGATTATAATAGAGAGTTTGTGGTGACCTTTTGATGCTCTATACCAGGGGTGTCCAACCTTTTTGAATGTGGGGCCGGATCATGAACTTTTTATCACGCAGTAGGCCAGCAGGAGTGGGCGCTCACGCGGCCTGTCCAGTCCAGCTGCAGCCTGGGGGGGGCAGGGGTCAAGGGGCGTTGCCTGACCCCACCGTATCCTCCCTGCCACCTAGACAGCCTCGAGGATGCTTCCACACCTGTGCGCCTGGACTCAGCAGCCAGGGGGACATGCAGGGACCCTGCAGAGGTGTGTGGGACAGGCAGGGACACTTCCCTGCTCCCTCTCCCCCGGGGCAGCCTGAGCCCAACCAGCAGGGCTCCCTCCCTAGGGCCTGTGACTCACCACCCCCAGCACGATGTCTGCGGGTGCAGGGGGATGCAGGGAGGTGGGAGTGGTGCCAGCTTCCCGCCCCAACAGCCATAGCAGCAACATCCCTCTGCGCCGGCATCCACACCACCCCCCACCCGCTGCACTGTGACCTGCTCTGGTCTGTGCAGCTGGAGAGACTGGCGCAGGGCGGGGCCAGCATGCAAATGAGGAAGGGAGGGGTGGGACTAGGACCGGACACAGTGAAATGAAGGGGGAGGGGAGGAGCTGCACTGTGTTGGCAACGTCAATCTGATGCGGTGCATGTAGGAACCTTGTCCCTTCCCCAGACCTTCAGCAGCCATTAAGAGGCTGCTGAGGGTCTGGGTGGGGAAAAGGGGTGGGAACGAAAGTAAACAGCATTTACTTTTGTCTCCCGTAGCAGCACTGCGAGCCACAGAAAATGTCTTGGCAGGCCACATGGCGGCCCATGGGCCATATGTTAGACAAGCCTGCTCTATACAAATGAGCGTGCTTATCTCGAGGCACTTCCTGCCCTAAGCCTGGAGTAGCCAGCAGATCTTTGTATGGCTAGTGCAGGAGGGAAGAGCTGAGCAATAGCTTCCTTGGAAAACAGCTCCTGCTGTTTCTTCCTGCTTCTGCAGCTGGTCATTGCAATAAGAGGCTGTGTAATGCTGGAGGGAGACAAGCTGCTGTACCAGTCCTAAGAGGAAGGCTGTCTACCCCACTGGGCAAGGAAGATTGTTACAGGCACAGGAAGAGTAGAAAAATGGCTGAGCTTGGCAAGGGCTGCCCTCAGATGCGTGGCACTACAGCATCATTGAATAAACTATGCTCTAGCTCCTCTGGACCCGTTTAAAACAGAAATAAAACTAGACTTGTTCTCTTTTGGTTTGGTTTGCAGCCCCAATAAGAAGGGCCTGTTCAGTGGTGTCTTTCCCACTTGTTCCCTTGCAAGTGAGAAGACTGGGAGGTTTGGTATTTGATATGAATCTTCTTGAGTCCTGTGTAGTAGCACCATTCAGGAGTTGCTATTCCTGTAGACACACAAACAAGAGTCCTCCAAGTTTCTACACCCTGCTAGGCTGCACCCCACTAGGCTGCAGAACCCAGGTGGCTTTTTGCAGCTGGATTGTCATTAATCCCAAGGAGGGACCATTGCACTGCTCCCTGCATTAATGTTGCCTATTGCAGCCATAGGATGGGTAATATGAGCTCCTCCCAACAACTAGGCTGCTGATATATAACTATAATAATTACTTTAGCTACTCCTTGTACCCACTTCTGCTATCTACAGGGCAGAGGTGATGAAGGGATTCTCTCATCCATAGGTAAGTGTCCTCCCAGGGGATAGCCAAGGCATGCTGTGAGGAGCCTTCTCTGCTGCTCCTCAAACCAGGCCTGTGCTGTGCTGGACATGCTTGGACTTCTAACCAGTGACTCTGGAACCAGCCAGCTAGGTCCTGACTGACAGTTTAAATGAGATCAAAGTCAACTACTGTTACAATCTGCAGTTCCTAGGGCCTTGCTTTCCACTTCATGTGGATGGGCATGGTTATGCCGCCTCCTGCCCGCTCAAGTAGTGTCAGACCTCTAGGTGTTCCTCCAACCATGTGCAGCTGGTAACGGGGCCAGACAGAGGCATAACTAGCAATTTTGGCACCCTGGGCAGAGCTGCTGGAGAGCACCATTCAGGTGCCCCTTCTAAATTGGCACCTGTGGCTGGTGTACATCTGGCCAGAGTTTATTTAAGCCATCCGTGTCCCCTTCTAGGGGTTCTTCTAGGTGCCAATTTTTCAGTTCATCCTTTCTTGTGACCCACTGTTGTCAGACATGTCCATGCCTCACTCTGAGAGGCTCTGAAACGGTGCCTGGGTGGCTGTTCCTCTCCCCCACCCCAGACAGCAAGGAGCCTCGTCTCTTGGAAAGCTAGCTTTATTCACTCAGTAAAAAGATGCAATGACTGTTGCAGCCATTTGCACCTAAGGTGCATCAGGCATATGTAACAGGAGGAGTGAGGCTGGCACTTCCTGGCTTCTATTCTTCATGCTGCAAATAAAAAATAAAGAGTTAGTATGGACTTACCTCTCCATTGTGGAGCCACGTGGTCCTCTAAAGGCAGCTGCAGCACCCTCTAGTGGTGCCTCTCTATGGCATCTTTCACAGCAGCCTTATGCTGCCTCCCTGCTCCAGCAGCTGCTCTTCCTGTGTGAGGCCTGCTGTAGTCAGTCACTGCTGCTCAGTGTGAGCACTGCCTACCGCCTGTGGTGCACCAGCCAGGAGAGGAGTATCACCCCATGGGAAATAGTACTAAAGCAGTGTAGCCATGGGAACCCTCCTCTACACTTGCTTCTCTTCCACCTGCTTGTCAATGTCACAACCCAAAGTTGTGGTTTTTCTTGTTTGTGTGTGCTTCGGCATCGCTAAATCATGTTCCCGCCAAATTGCAGCTCTTTTGCACAGTGGAGTGTTCTGTTGCAATTAAGAACCCGCGTGCAGGAGTTTTTCCCGCCAGTTCTGTAGCTTTCTTTGCATAGTGCATTCCTTTTGCATTATAGTGATGCACGATGCAAAGGAGTTCCTGCCATTTGTATTTAGATTCGTGCCACATTATTGGCCGGTTCTAAATGTAGGCATACGTGGCAGCTAGCTATTGGCTTGCTAGCCGCTCAAAAGGCTTGGGTAGTTTCCGCCCAAGTCAGAGAGAGAGAAAGCACGTGGAGTTCGGGAAAGGAGCGTGAGGATTTCTAAGCGCTGCTGATCCCTACGAACCCAGCTTTTTCCTTAAAAGGGCAACAGAGGTTTAGTTTGTCGAACCCACGGAGCTTCAACAACTCCGGGGGACCTATTTACTGAACCCTCCGAGCCTTAACAACTCTGAGGCACATAACCTCTAGCCTCTCCCCGTCGCCGATCGCAGTCCAGACGTATCCCTATCCTAAGGACCCAATTGTCGAACCCACGGAGTCTTAACAGCTCCGGGGGACCTGGGAACCGAGTAACCCACTCCACCGAGAACTCAAGCGGAGCTGTGCCTGGAAAGCTGACCACCCTACACTGCGACCACCTTGGGTGTAAGTAAATAATCTTTTCAATCAACCATTACACCTCCGTGACTGATTCTACCTCGAGCGTACCATACCGCGCCGCGGTTTTCTCCAACCCCGCGTGCCCGGGCTGCTGGCCACAGCCTGTGTGCACAAAGACGGGCCCGGCTCGCACATGGCGACCCAGATGGGATCGGGAGAGAACTCGCACATGGCGACCCAGGCGGGATCGGGAGAGGGCCCGCACAGTCAGGCTTAGCTTTGTTTTGGGGCCTTGCATCTGGAGACTTACCTTCGATGTGATGACCACCTCCCTGCTGCGGGCACGCAGCTTGTTGACCTGCGTCTCAGCAATGTCAGCTCGCTCCTCTGCATCATCCAGTTCATGCTGTACCTTGCGGTATTTCACCAGGTTGGAATTAGCCTGCTGCTCCTGTGAATGATGATCCAAGGAGGTAATGATGATCTGTCCCCATGCATTTTCTCCATTGTGTTGCCAGCCATTCCCTCCCCTGCCTCAGGCAACTCCTGCTGGGCAGGTTTGCACATCTTACTGAGGGAATTTTGCTCTGAACACAGCACTGCTGGAGGTGCTGAAATCCCAGTCCCTGTACAAATGGAGCTTAGGCAGTGATGTACCAGCTGGTACCAAGTACCAGCTTCCTCAGCCTGACCTACTGATGTGTCTTGTGCTTGAGAGGCAAGGAGCCCCCTCAGCCTCAGCAGGACAGGAGACCCTGTGGCTGATTTTAGAGCACAAAGCTGTTGCTATAGAGGACTCCCACAGCCCTGGGCTGAGCCTGGTAGACATCCATTATTACATTCTTGGTGCCTTCCCCAGGCAAGTCAGAGCTGTGACCAGAGAGTTTCCAGCTTCCTGCTCCAGAGGAACATGTGGTGAGTGTCTTCTGCTTTGGGTAGCAGGTTCCCTCATCTGTTGAGGCTTGGTGGGGTGGTAGGGGCAGCACTTACTGCCTCCTCATACTGGCGCTTGTAGCTCTTGACTTTGGTCTGTAGTTTGTCAATCAGGTCCTGCATCCGGGCCAGGTTCTTTCTGTCCTCCTCAGTCTGAAAGGTGCCAGCCAAAGCCATTTGTGAAATGCCAGTTCCCACCTGCAGCCTCCCACCCCTCCCTGGGCTTCTTTCTCCCTTATACCCTTTCCAGGGCAGCCAAAGCCTTTCTCTTTGGGTACCTTTGCACAAAGCAAATCTGTCCCCTCAGTGATCTTTCTTTCCCACAGACCTCCCCTGTGGCACAGAGCACTTTGGTGACCCTTCCCTTCCCCCCTGAAACACACATGTGCACACATGCGTGTGTTTAGGAGGTCTTGTCTCTTCTTTCCATTTGTTTTGACCAGGAATCCTGATTTTCTGTTTCCCATGGAAAAAATGGAGTAAAAGGCGGATTTCCCCCTTACCGGAGGAAAATGCAGATTTCTCATTTTAGTGGAGAAACCTGTGGATTTTGAAGTTTTGCAAAGAGCTCGCTGCAGGCTGGCAGAGTTCCAGCCTGCAAATGGCTGGGAGGGAGTCGAAGGAGGGCAGTCAGGCAAGGGGGTCCATGTGTCTATATATGCACATGGCTGCCAGGCAGCCTGGAGGGCAGCTCCTGTACGTAAGAAGGGTGGAGGGGATTCAGGCCCCCATAGAGCGGGAGAGAGGGAGTTGGGCAGGGCTGGGGCTGCTGCCCAGCCAGGTGGTGTCTGGGGCTTGGGACCTGGGGCTGCAATGTGCGGCCACAGGGACCTAGTGGGGAACAGGATGGGGCTGTGGGCGGCTCATCCAGGGGGTAGGGCCAGCTCCCCGCCACTGCGCGTACTCCCAGAGGGCAGGAGAGACCCATGTCCCCCAGATCTGTGCATGGGGTGGGAGCAGGTCAGGCTGCCTGCTGTGGGCTTGGGCTCTCGCCCTGCTGCCTTCCCCTGGGATCTCCACAGCCAGGCAGGTGCGACCCGGTGCTGCAGGGAACAGTGGAGCCATGCAGGAAGGCTGCTTTGTGCTGCAAGCCCCGCACTATCCTGGTGAGGTGTCTCCTGCCCGCATGGCAGCAGCAGAAGTGTTCCAGGGTTGTGCCTCACTGCTGCTGCGCAGCCCTACTAGGCTGCAGGGAGCCTGAGTCCACAATGGGCAGCTTGTCCCCACCCCACGCACAGATCTGGGGGGCACAGGTCCCGTCTGCCCCCCTAGGAATGCATGCAGTGACGCGGAGCCAGCCCCTCCTCTGCCCAAGCCCACAGCAGGCAGGCAACAGGAAGCGGGCAGCGGGGGTCGGGGGAAGAGAGAGCTGGGCTCTGCTTCCCTGCAGCAGTCACTGCCTCCTGCCAGGAGCCACAGCCTCCTGCCTCCTGCTGCAGACCTGGGTACCTGGCCCCAGAGCCCTGGCAGCTAGGGGCCCCCTCTGGCAGGGCAGGTGGGGCAGGGGCTGTGGGTGGGGGGAAGGGGCACCAGCAAGGCTGGGAGGGCTGTGGGGGGGAAATAAGGGGCATGAGCAGGGCCAGGGGGCTGTAGAGGGGAGTGGGGGGCAGCAGCAGGGCTGTGGTGGGCCTATCATTTTAATCATTAATTTGGGGGGGTTTATCAGAGAAATTGTGATTTTTTTTTTTTATCAGGGAAAACCAGGATCCCTGGTTCTGACTGCTCGTGCTCATACTGCTTCCCCAAGGCAGCTGAGGCCAAAAGCGCTTTTAAGCAACAGAAGAGAACTTTTTTTTTTTTTTAAAGGAATTTTTCATGTTCCAAGCCAAATCAGCCAAATCAAGTTCAAATCTATGAGTCAGTCCAGAACCATAAGTGGCCCTATAACCAGCAAATATCTTCCACCCCACCAGGGGCTTCAGATATTTCCAATGTCTCTTGGCAGGCATCCTACATGCAGGCCCAAGCCCAGAGGCTTGGGGTTCGGATGCCTCCAAGTTTTGCCTGCCCGCAGCCATATGGCCGCAGGAGCAAGCTAGGGAGGAGCCTCCTATTTCCATAAAATAGGCTTTAAGCCCCAACACCTCAGCAGGTACTAAACCACACCAAAAGAACAGTTATTCCCTGGGCTCTTAAGAAAAACTGGTTTCATGGACCCAGGTACATGGTATTTCCCCTGAGAACAGGGCCAGGAAGGATCCCAGAGTTGCTCTGGCTTATCAGAGAGAACTGCAGCCTCTGCCTGTGTCTGCCCTGCCTAGCAGCAGCCAGCACAGAAGGCTGAGTATGTGCAGTGCTAGCAGGCTGTGGGGTGACTCCCTGGGGAGTCCTGTAGGCTCAGAGCTGGGCACTAGCATACCTGGTAGGTCAGCTCCTTGATCCTCCTCTCATACTTGCGGATGCCTTTCTGGGCCTCAGCTGTCTTCTTCTGCTCAGTGTCCAGCTCCCCCTCCAGCTCCCTCACCTGCAGGCAGCAAGCAGCCACAATGTCACCACTCACCTCACTTCCCAGCACTTCTTCACCTATCCCCTTAGAGAGTCCTCCCTGGTTTCCTCCAGAGCGTGGCTAAATCTCTAACACCACCTCATTCTGAGCTGGGATGCTCTAGTCCCTTTGCCCTCCAGTCCAATGCCTTGTCCCAGCAAATGGAGACCTGCTGGGTGAATGGCTGGGCTTCTCTACCATATCCTGGGTATAGAAATGTGAGAGGATAAAAGGAACCAAGACCAGGCTCCTGGGTTGGCCTCCTTGTTGGAGGCAGTATAGTATCTCCTCCATGCTTTTTGGTGCAGCCTGACACACCGGGCTGAGTCAGCACCACGAATCCACCCTTAGAGAGCTGCAGAGAAGAGATGCAGGAAGTGACTGGTGCATTCCTATACAGAGCCCTGCATCTTCTGGCCCCCTGAGGGCATGGCATGGCTGAGGGTGCTGGGCACTGAGGATCTGTCCTTGGTCTGCAAAGGCCAACCTCGTACTGGTATGAAGCACACCATTTGGGAGTCAGTGCCCATTGCCAGGTGCAGGAGGGCTAAGGGGCTCTAAGAGAAACCTGGAGCCTGGGGATTTGCTTTGATCTGGTCTCACTCCCTGCCTCCCCTGAGCCCTGTGACCAAGCAAGCAGCCATGCCACAGAGGGTGCTGTGAGAAGCTGGGTAGGAAAGGTACTGGCTGCAGACAAAGGCAGTTGAAGCTGTTCTACACAGCACTGGGTGGTTCCAGCACTTACTCTGGCCTCCAGCTTCTGGATCTGCTTCTTGCCTCCTTTGAGGGCAATCTGCTCAGCCTCATCCAGGCGCATCTGCAGGTCCTTGATGGTCTGTTCCATGTTCTTCTTCATCCGCTCCAGGTGGGCACTTGTGTCCTGCTCCTTCTTCAGTTCCTCTGCCATCATGGCTGCCTGCAGGTACCCAGTGGCTCTGTCACTGCTGCACAAGGCTTTCAGGTTCTCAGGCCTCCCCTGCCATACCCCTTTAGGCTCAGGTAACCTCCCATATTGATTCCGTCCACTTGCAACCTACCTCCCAGATATAGCTTCAGTTTGCCTAGAATTGTCCATTCCAGACCCAGATGAGGAGCTACAGCACTGTTTTCCCCCACCCTGACCCACTGTTAGGTTTTGTCAGCCACCCTAGAGGGCAAAGCAAGTCCTGGTACAACAGAAACTGGTAATTCATGCCCCTCTCCACTGACATATTGAGGCTGTGCTATGCCCCAGGACTGGCCCCAGCCCTGCTGGGAGTGCTTAGCCAACCTTCTCATGCACTCACATCTGTGATTGCTTTCTTGGCCTTCTCCTCTGCATTGCGACATTCCTGCACAGCCTCTTCCACCTCTGTGGTGAGTTGGGCAATGTCTGCCTCCATCTTCTTCTTCTGGTTAATCAGGCCTGTGTTCTGAGCACAGAGACAGGGTAGTGTTACCCTGTATGCACAAGCTTTTCTTTCACACAGGGGTGCTCTATTCACTCAGAGGCTCGTCATGCAGTTGGACTGTTCTCAGTGGGGATGGGCTATTTGCATGGGACCAGAGTGCAGGGATGGCCTGTTTGCATGGGGATGGGTTGTGGGGCCAGGCTGTTCACATGTGGCCCAGGGCTTTGGAATCTAGAGTGTGCTAGGAAGCAAGGGCACTCCCTGTTCACTGCACTCTCCTAAGACAGTCTACTTTCAGGGCTGTGCACCACTGCTGCTGACCAACAAAGCAGCACATAAATTTCAAAGCCAGAATGAACCACTGTGTGCTTCTGCATAGCCCATGCCATAGGATGCCCCTGCATTAATTCTGTGGGAATGAGCTGGTCTTCTAGACAAGTGCCCAAACCTGGGCGATGGGCTGAGACTCATGGCACAGGTGAGATGCACAGCAGCTGTTGTCTGCCAGCCCCCTCCCCAACAGAGGCCTGCGTGAGCTGGGCTCACCTGTGAATGAAGCAGATTCACTCTCTCAGTAGCCTCCAGCAGTTCCTGCTCAGCCAGCTTCCTGCCCCGCTCAGCTTGCTCCAGTGCTGCCCGCAGCTCCTCCACCTCTGCCAGCAGCAGGTTGTTGCGCCTCTCTAGGGCTGCTGCCTGCTCCTTGAGGTCGTCATTATGGCGCATGGTGTCATCCAGTTCAATCTGCAGGTCCTGCCAATGACATCCATGCAGCAGGGTCAAGAGGATCGAAGGAAACAGACACATTCCCATCCTCCCAGCAGGGGCCAGAGGATAGGCAGGACGTGCCGCACATCAAGGGATCAGGATCATCATGTGATCCTGAAAAGGCAGCCAGCTGCTAGCCAGGCATCAGGCAGGACTTGGAGCCAGATGGTGCACCAGCCATTGCTGCCCTTGCCTTCAGGCTGACTGAGTGAACACAGGACCAAGACAGTATCTGGGAATGGCACTGAGCCCCCTGAGCTGGCCCACAGCAGTAGCCAGGCAATCCTAATCCCTCAGGCAGGAGTCAGGACTGACTTTGATTTGAGACTGGAGCTGCCGAACCATCTTCTGGGCCTCAGCAGCCTGGCGGTTGGCATGGCTCAGCTGTATCTCCATCTCATTCAGGTCTCCCTCCATCTTCTTCCTCAGCCTGATGGCCTCATTCCTAGCTTTAGCCTCTGCATCCAGCGTGGCCTGCATGGAATCCATGGCACGCTGGTGGTTACGCCTGGGAGGGAAGGGAGTTGGGAGAAAGGGATTAATCCTCCTTTAGTACTGAGACTGTGGCTTTCACACTTTAGTTATGCATTTGCACTAGTTCTCCTGATATCCCTGTCTCAGGATTGCAGGGCAGCCTTGCTGATACCAGCCCACAGAAAAGTGAGGTGGGCATTGTAGACACAGCCTGCTCCTGGCTTGAGGCTTGGACCCTACCTCAGGTTCTCAAATTCCTCATCCTTCTCTGCTAGTTTCCTGTCCACATCAGCCTTGACCTGGTTCAACTCCAACTGGATTCGCAGGGTCTTGCTCTCTTCATGTTCCAGTGCCCCCTAGGGACAACAGCAGACATGGCATTAGTATGATGAACATGGGGACAGCATTTATGGCTCTCCCAGCTAGCTGTTTGCACTCCTTGCAAATGTGGCATTATAGAGGGCAAGGGCAATATATCTTTCCTGCCAGGGCCAGGCAGTCCTAGCCTTGCCATGCTCTCCAGCCTGAACATGCTGTTTTTTTTGGAGAGGTTGGGGAAGTCAGAGCTGGAGCACCAAGTGGGGAGGGACAGAATGGCAGGAATGGGGGTCACACCTCAGCCCAATGCCTAGGGCACAGTCCTCACATGAGGAAACTACCACGCTGCCAGAACTGAAACCACCATGTTGCAAGCACTTGTCCATTAATAAAAAATTGTTGTAAAATGCAACCTGAATGAGATGTTCACAAAGGAGCCTTCACTATAGCCCTACAGGGCCAAGGGGAAACTAAGCCAAGTGCCCTGCTCTAGCTCACAATATACTGGTGCTGGAGCTAAGGACAGAGCCCAGGAATTCTGTGTCCCTACCGTCCCAGAATCCAGAGGGTTGTTGTGCTGCTGGTAGCATACAGGAGGTGACTGGTGGCTGCCCAAGGGCCATCCACAACTGGAGCCTTGAAGTGACAAGTGTAAAAGGGGAAGCAATAATTGAGCTGGAGGGGTCATGTGGGTTTTTGATGGAGCACTAACCCTTGAGCAAGAACTAACACCCTCATACTGATAACCCCAAGGTGCAAAGAGGAGGGGCTGCTCATGCCTCTTGCAGAGGGTATTTGAATCAACTGGGATGGGTACTGGGCATGTGAGAGATATCACCCCTCCTCACAGCAGTAGCAGGGCATTTCCTCTTGGCTCTGAGCTCACCTCAGCCTCCTCCAAGGCAGCCTGGATCTCACTCTTCTCACACTCCAGGGTCTTTTTCAGCTTCTCCAGCTCATGGATGGTCTTGCCACTCATGCTGATCTGATCTGTCAAGTCAGCAATCTCCTCTGTGCCAGATCAGAAAGACCTTAGGTTATGAGTGTGTTGCAGAGGCCTGAGCTTTCCTGCAATCCCTCAGAGAAATGGTCAAAGCAAGCAAACAGCTCTGAACCTAACTCTTTCATCCTGAGCCCGCTTCACAGCCTGGCAGCTGTCCAGGGAGCACCTCTGCTGCCCTAGACAGGTGCTGGAAGTGACTTTGAAACCTGCATTCAGATCTCCCCCATCCCTTCAGTACTCAGCTGCTGGCCTGTGTCCTCAAATGGGCTACCTGGGCACTGGCAGCTGAGCTGTGTTATGGTGTCATAGAAGCTAGACTACTTTTGCTGCACTCTGCATGCTGTTCTGTCTGCCCTCCCCCCTGCACTCTGAGGTCAAACTAGAGGCTGGGTGGGAGCGCATTGGTGACAGGAGCAGGTGTGCAAAGCAGGGCTGGCCAAGGAGTACTCCTGACACCCAGGTAGTATAAACATGGGCAGCCTCACTGCCCCAGACGTCACCTCAACTGTACAATACCCTTGTTCTCCCTTTGAGGCAAAATATCCATTAGAAAAACAAACAACAGTTTTGAAATAGCAGCCAGGTTCAACCCTGCCTGGACCTTCATGACTGCAGTGGGATGAACACTGCCCCACCTTGGAAAAAAAACACACCCACTCCAAAGAGGAGGAAGGGATAAGTCCCTGTCTGGCCGGTGACTTTTCCTGGAGTTGGGGACATAGAAGTGCTGCTAGGTTCTGTGCCTAACCCTGTGAGAGGGAGAGGCATGAGCCTCAAAATATGGTAGGACTGTTCAGCCATGTCAGATCCTGTGTACCTTGCAGGTTTTTGTTCTCTCGTTTGAGGGTCTCCAAGTTGTCCAGGGACTCCTCATAGGCATTCTTGAGCTTGAACAGTTCGGTGCTTAGGCTACGAGACTCTTTCTGGGAGGCCTCCAGCTCTGCCTGGGTCTCTTCATACTTCTGTTTCCACTCAGCAATAATCCTGTCAAAGTTGCGCTGCTTTTTGTCCAGGGCAGCAGCTGCAGAGTTGGCTCTCTCCAAGTCAATGGACAGGTCCTCAATCTCCGTCTGCAGCCGGTGCTTAGTCTTCTCTAGGGAGGAGCACTTGGCATGTGCAGCCTCCACAGCCTCCTCTGCCTCCTGCAGCCTGATGGCCAGCTTCTTTCTATCAAGAGCAATCAGGGCATGAGCCACAGGTGGACATCCCAACCCATCCCCTTTTACCACCCCATCAGCCTGGGTCTCCAAAGGGGGCAAGGTTTGACTAGAAAAGGCAGAGCTTTACCCAATTTAATCAATACAGGCCTGATCCAAGGGCCCTTTTGAGTCAGTCAATGATTTCTGTGAATTTTGTCCTGCCCCTGGGAAGAATGAAAGCCACAGCAGGCCTGAATACTACTCCCTACTTGGTGGAAGAGCTTGCCCCAGTATAAGCCTTTTAGGTACACAAGTGGAGGTGTGTGTTGGCTAATAGATCTAGATCCAGGCCCTTTCCTCAGCAACACTACAGACAGCCAGTGAAAGATATAAACCCCTCACAAGCAGAGTGCTGGGTTGTGTTACACATGTTGCCTTGGCCAGCTCATTGGCATTTCCTGGCAATAGGAAGCAATTCTGTACGTGTGATTACAGAGTCCTCAGTGACTACAGGCCTGTACTGGAAAAGTTGCTCATGTTGCCACCCTGGAAAGAGGTTGGGGCACTGATTTCAAGTGTGTGAACCTGCAGGAACTCACTTTGCTTCCTCTAGCTCTTCTGTCCTTTGAATGGCATCCGTCTCATACTTGGTTCTCCATTGGGCCACCTCAGCGTTGGCCTTTGACAGGGACCTCTGGAGCTCACTCTTGGCTTCTACCTCTTCCTCATACTGTTCCCGCAGGAGGTCACAGTCATGGCGAGATGCTTGCAGGGCATGCGCCAAGGCATTTTTGGACTAGAAAGCAGAAAATGTGAAAAGAGAGACTGACATCAAACTCCCCAAGGCCCTCATAGCCCACAGGCAGGGTGTTGGTGTTAGGTCTTGCCCAATCATGCACAAAAGCAGGGCTCCATGCTTGCAAAGACTCCAGGGTCTGCATCTCATTTATTACAGTGAGTTTAGAAGTGGCTAAAGCCAGACTGACTGTCTGGATGACTGCTGAGTTTTGTGCCAGGGCATGTCTTGCACTGCCCATGTAGGAACATAGACCTATCCTGGAGGGGCAATCCCATGGCAGAAGAAAGAATTTGGTGTCCATTGTGGAGGTGCCTGGAAGTGCAGGGAGGTGAAAGTATATGCACCAGCTCAGTTCATATATTGACCCAAACATCAACCATCCAATTGCAGTTGTTGGTCATGACTGACTGGGCTAGGTCCAGATCTTAATGGAAGAAGCATGCCCTGTTCTCAGCGTCATAGCTATCCCTTGCACAGCCACATTTCAGGACACACTTTTCCCTGTTCAGAGCACTAGCCTCAGCCCTCACCACTGCTTGGGTAGCCTGTGGTCCTGTGAGCACAGGTACAGCATGGGGCTGTGATACCAGTGACCAAACAATCAGGAAGAGGCTGCTTGGCTATTTTCCATCAGAGGCTCAGATGCAAGTTCTCACTGCTGGGCCATTTGTTTCTACCCAGGTTCTTAGACTGTCAGCCAACCTCCTGCCTGAGAGAGGCCCTGGGGGGATCAAACATCACCTAGTCAACCTTACCTTGGTCTCTTCTTCTAGCTGCCTCTTGAGCTCCTCAATCATCTGTGTAAATGAGGTCTTCCCACGGGTCAACTGGTTGATAAAAGACTCCTTTTCCTCCAGGAGCCGGCTCAGCTCCCCTGGGGGCAGACAAAACCAGCCACAATGAGGATGGAGACATGGAAGCCATTCAAAGCCATTTTGTTGCGGATCTCATGCTCTTCACCTTCCTGGAGCCCAAATCAGAAAGACAGAACTTTGCCAGGATGCCAAGAGTCCCTAGGAAGGAGTTTTGATATGGAGCTCTTGCTCATATCCATCCCATGGCACTAGGCTCAAGCTCATCACTGAACTTCCTCAGAGCTGGAGGGGTTGGACTGGTTGTCCTGGCTATGGTCCACTGCTAGCCCAGACTCAACTGAAATGGACTTTATGTTGTGTTTCTTATTTTCTGGAGATGGCAAAGTGTTTTACACATCAGTGAGCCCCCAACTCAGCCATGCTGCAGTGGACAAAACTAGTTTGGGCTCCAAGACTGTCCTTGTGCAGCCTGGATGGTAAAACCCCATTCACTGTGGACATGCTGGCCATGACAGGGAGGCTCTTGGCATTCACCCAATTGCCAGCAGGGAGCCTGGTTTGACATTACTACTAAGGGACATGCTCTGACACAGCCAGCCTCAGAAGACCTTTACTTCATAGACAACTGTGTGGAACCTGCTACTAGTCCCCGCAGAGTCAGCACCATGGAATCATGGGACCCAACAGCAACAGCTACATCTCTGGATGTAGAGGACAGACTATGTCACCTGGTAGCTCCCTGCCGTTAAAACCTGAGCCCTTGGCACACTCCATAGTCCAGGGTAAAGTTGATAATAATGGCACTATCCTATTCTCTTTTCTTCAGAACACGTTGGCCTGTCATTGTGGCCATTAGGAAGTCTCAGTGAGCTCAGGAGGACCAGGGCTTCCAGCCTATACATTGTGGAGCTAGGATGGGGGATGCCTTCTAATTAACCAGTGTGACAGTCAGGTGTGTTCTGCTGCTAGCAACATGCCCCTCACTTAAAGAAAGGACTTAATCTCTGGACAGCAGAACATATTTCAAAGTCAGTGATGCTAATCCTGTGGTTTAGGAAGATCAGTTGTAGGGTGCCTCTGTCGGCTCCTCCCTGAGCTTGGCAGCATCATTCTCAACCTACCACTCTCTGTCTGCAGCCTGGCTCGCTGGGTGCTCACGTCAGCCAGCTGCCGCTGCAGCTCATCCACTTTGGACTTGGCTTCATTCAGCTGGTCCTCATAGGTTCGGCACAGCTTTTCAGCATTTGCCTACAGTGATCAAGTGAGTCCAGGATCAGACCCTTGTCCCATACAAACAGAACTCTGTACTCTGCTCAATGGGCCCATGAGGGAGCTGTCCCCCTTCTTACCCTTGGCACTCACCTGGCTCTAACTAGGGGTTTCACTTGTCCTAACCCTAGGGGGTGCAGATCCTGTAGACGGGATTCCCACTCAGCCCCCAATAGCTCATACAACATAAATTCTCTTGTGTCCCTCTCACTAGAATAATAGGCCCTACAAATGGGTAGCCTCTGAGAAAGAAACCAGGGCTTCCCAGAACCTCCAACTTTTGTCCATGACCTTAGTATTTTCAGAGCACTACACAAACACTGACTGCCATGGGCTGGGTGTGTAATACTATCTCTGTGTACAAACAAAGTGAGAGAAGTTAGTGATTTGGTCGAGGGGCACATCAGAGCTGGACTTAGATCTCTAGACTCTGGTTGAGCCACTTAAGCTACAAGCTGCAGAACAAGAGCTCAAAGTCTATCTGGGCCACCAGCTACTACAGGGCAACATAAATGCCTATGCTTAGACAGGTCCAGCCCCACTGTACTGAGAGCAGTGCCCACAAATGGGGTCCTACCCACCCTTCACCTTGTTCTTGGTGAGGTACTCAATGTTGGAGGATAGGTCATCCACTTCCATCTTCATCTCACTCTTCTCTTTCTCCAGCTTCTGCTTGACTCGTTGAAGGTTGTCGATCTGCTCACTCAGCTCAGCTACCGAGTCAGCGTGCTTCTTGCGCAGGGCTGCAGCCGTTGATTCATGCTGCAGCGTTGCCTCCTCCAGGTCCCGGCGCAGCTTCAGGAACTCGGCCTCCCGCTTCTTATTCATTTCCAGCTGGATGGCTGTGGCACCACCAGCCTCCTCCAGCCGCTCACTCAGCTCCTCCAACTCTCGGGCCACTTCTGCACGCTGCTTCTCTACCTTGGCTCTGGCAGCTCTCTCAGCCTCCAGCTCCTCCTCCAACTCCTCAATACGGGCCTACAGGGTAGGCAGGACATGGTAGGTGCTATGGGGACTAGGCAAAGCACTAACACCTTTAAATCCAAAACACAGCAAGAACCTCTCTGATGCTGTCCAGGAACAAGCCACCACACTGGGAAATGCAGCAAGTGCCTCTATAACTCAGAGGTGCCCTGAGGGGTCTGCTCTGCCCCTAGGACCCTAAGGTCAGAGATAACTCCCCAACACAGGCTTCCTAAAATGGTGCCCCTGCTGA